TCTGATGGGAGGGCATTCCACAGGGAGAGCACCACTGCCAAGAAGATCTTCTGCCTGGTTCCCTGTAACTTCGCTTCTCGCAGTGAGGGAACCAACAGAAGACCCTTGGAGGTGGACCTCAGTGTGCAGTCAGAACGATGGGAGTGGAGACACTCCTTCAAGCATACTGGGCCAAGGCAGTTTAGGGCTTTTAAGGCCAGCATCAACACTTTGAATTGTGCTAGGGAACCCTCCTATTGATAGTCTTTGTCTTCCTCTCCTTACAAAGATCTACAGTCATGAGACAGTCCTACTTGTTTACCCCTGACACTCCAGAAAGCCCTTTTTGGTCATCACCACGGAAAATAAAGGTTTCCTAGCTTAACCTTTCTCCAAAAGTCCATTATGACTTAAAATATGGTACTACTAGACAAAAAGAAAAGAAAAAAGTCATTCCAGTTCAACCTCAAATAAGTTCCGTTCGTGCTGAACTTCCCCAAAAGACAAAGTTATTTTCAATCGATACAATTGTTTAATGAGGCAGTAAAATCTACTGGTAAGACACTGAACCGCTGAGTTCCATAAAACATGCAGAAATATCACACAGCATAAGGTTGGGAAAAGGGCTTGCTATTTCATACAAGAATCTGAATTTAGTTCTAGCGCTGTAAAACTGAGCCTCTAAATCATCCAACTTTAAAACACCTTAGAAAAGTAATTAAAATTGTTTTTCCTGTAATGCTTGGCATGCGATTTAAAACAGCTTTACTGAATTACTGTAATCACATTTCTTATAAATATTGTAAAATAACAAATCCTTTGAAATTGAAAGCTTAATCCACAGAGTTGGAAAACAATTCCCTTAGAAGATGAGAAGAACAGGTTATTCTGAAGATCCTACATTTATTATAATACATATGTGGTCCTCACAATATATGAATGAAAAAACAAATGCCCAGAGCGAGGATTTATTCCAGCAAGGTTATGGATAAAATTCTGTCCTCATTTGGAAATCAAGAATGCAGAAACTCTGAGACATCCACCAATGTTAAGTGACCCTTTCAGAACTTCCCAGATCATGGTCCTTAAAACAGAGGCATTTTAATAGAAAACACCAGAAGGAGAAGGGGGTTAGGAAAGAAAAGGTGCTTAAACTTAAACTTGTATGTGAAACTGTTTATACATTTTTTCAAAAAAAAACTGCATGTATTAACATTAATAGAAATAAAGGGCTCAATCCAAAGAATTCCCTTCCATTCATCATCTGCAGGGCAAAATGGACAAGGCAATTTCTCCTTCCCCCTGCACTACCTCTGATGTTGTTCTGGAGGCTCCCCAACCCTAATAAGCAGATTCAGCAGGTGAAAGATGCAGGAGGATTGGTGAAAAATCCTTCCCCCTTTCAGTCTTCAGGAGGGTTATATAATCCAGCAGTCCTGAGACCATTGGATCTGATACAAAGTAATATGCGTATTTAGGGACGCGGGTGGCGCTGTGGGTAAAAGCCTCAGCGCCTAGGGCTTGCCGATCGAAAGGTCGGCGGATCGAATCCCCGCGGCGGGGTGCGCTCCCGTTGCTCGGTCCCAGCGCCTGCCAACCTAGCAGTTCGAAAGCATCCCTGGGTGCAAGTAGATAAATAGGGACCGCTTACTAGCGGGAAGGTAAACGGCGTTTCCGTGTGCGGCCCTGGCTCGCCAGAGCAGCGATGTCACGCTGGCCACGTGACCCGGAAGTGTCTCCAGACAGCGCTGGCCCCCGGCCTCTTGAGTGAGATGGGCGCACAACCCTAGAGTCTGTCAAGACTGGCCCGTATGGGCAGGGGTACCTTTACCTTTACCTTAATATGCGTATTTAGAATCATTTTTTTTTATTTTTTATTTTTGAGAACAAGAGAGAGTTGGGTGGGTGAATACCTAAAATCTCAGCTACATTAAAAACTTGGGAGTGCTCCATTTTTGCCTAGGGGCACCTCTCACTTCCATTCTTTGGGAAAGCAGCTTCCCAGTATGAACCAGTAACCTATGAACGTGACTGAACAAACAAGGAGACCGTTCTTTCTAACATATATGTGCATGTGTCCTGTTCCAGCCATTCCATTCTATTCCATTTCCCCTCAACCTTCCACCCGGTTGCCAATGTTTTCCCCCTTTTCAGATACTCAATGCCATTGAGTTATTATGGGTCTACTCAGAGGGTTTTTCCCATTTGTTTTATATGCTCTACAAACGTCTTGAGTTACTCCAAGTCTACTGATACATCTTCTTTCATGCATGGACACTGTACTTTTGCCTATCGAAGCATGGATATACAAGTAGGACACTGCAACCAAATGTTGCGCGTTAGAGTGCTTCTGGATAGTGTTCCAGCCAGTTCCCATCCACCCTATGTTTCCTCCCCGCTACCTCCCTCCCAAAAAACCCTAGTCAGCTGGCATTTCCTGCCCACTGAGCATGTTCACTCCTCACTGTAAAACAGCCTAAGTCCCCAGCCCTGCTTTTCTGACAACAGAGAGAACTGGGGAATAACGGATCAAGCTCTGATTCTACTGCATTTTGCTTTGCCTTCTCTTCCCATTAGGCACTGCTTGAGATTTTAACTTTAACTGATTGCAGCATCTTAGAACTGGAAGGGAAGCATCTATATTCCCCCATCACACCCTGAGTCTGCCACTAAGGCTGGGTTTCTGAGAGACAGCAGTACCAGCCACTGAGAAAGTCCTGGCCTTTGTGGATCTCACATCTAGCTGTGTCAACAGAGACTCTGCCACAAAATGGCATTCGCCGGACCATCAGATAACTGGTGTTTGTGTGTGTGTGTCTTGTACACACCCGTGCCATGCTGCAGTGACGGTTGCTTCACTGTCTGTTTTATCATGCTGCAAATACATTGCAAACTGCTTTGAGAATTTCAATCACTAGGTGGGATGCAAAGACTGCTAAATAAATAAACTTATTAAAACCACAGATCAGTCACCTTTCCGTTCTGCCAACGGGCTTTTCTGGCTGCTGGTTATCATCAGCTTAACTTTGTGACAGGTGCAGAAGTTGCAGGGAAGCTAAGTAGCTTGTGGAGGAAAGATCTTATCCTTTGAGAATAAAGCCATATTTTCCGGTTGACTGGCTACATCTAATAACCAAGCCATAAATATTTCCAACCTCACATATTTTAAGCAAACATCAGGGATGATTAACATAAATATTATTTATCACTCCACTTTTTCATTAAAGCACTTTTCCATTTAACATTCCCGCACCCCACTCACACCCTCTTTCCATCTTAGATTGTTCTAGCAGAGCATATTTGTCACCACGTATCAGCCTCCTGTTCTTCTTAATTCAAGCCTTGCTATCTTCATTAACCAGTTATGTTAAGACGTGCAGTGATTGTTCCTCATGTACAAAAAAGCTTGCCAATGGTTTGGGCAAGTACATAATGCAAGATTCCTACCAACACGCACATACACACAGAGAAAGCTAAATAAAAATAAATCTCTGTTTTCCAGAGTTTGTCCTATGGCTACAAGAGCAGGAAACCAGGAGGCTTCTGAATATTCCATCCATTCCTTTAACTCAGGGCTAGAGCCATATTTAATTTCAAGCATGGGTAAACTTCCAACCAGATCTCTGGGTTGGAGTACAAGGGCTAAATGAAGAGCCAGGAAGCATACTGCCTCTCTGTTGCAACTTAGAGATAGTAGCATACCTTGCCACATAATTGGACTATCCAGCTCAGTATTGTCATCTCTGATTGGAAGAGGCACTCCAAGGAAACAAGACAAGAGTCCTATCTGGAGATGCCACAGAGAGACTGAGTCTGGGACCTTTTGCAAGAAAAGCGTATGATCTACTGCTGGGAAATGACGCTTCCCATGCAATACATTTACACCAAGGGTGTCATTCGCGTGAGGAAGGATCGCACCAATGCTTTTCACAGACAACAGCTGCTAAGTAGCAAGTTATTTGCAACTAGGCATATTAAATAGCTTTCTTTGATGGCAACTCATGCCTTTCATCACCATCAGTTATGGGAAAGTTCACCTCTAAGCACAGCCAATGTCACCATCAACAATCTAGATTGTTCAAATACAAGCAAGCAAATATATAAATTGTTGCAGTAAATGCTGCTGCAACAAAGCTTACACTGTGCATAATGAAACAATAGAAATCATCTTCCTAATAAGTTTATCCACTGTTGAGTTACTTGCGTAACAGCATTTTTTGACTCACACACACACACACACACACACACACACATAACTGACAGGCAGTGTCACAAATATATGCTTAGTTCTGCTCGGCATCGCTGTGCTCGTTAATTTAACAAACTATCAAGAGAATATGCTTAGAATGGGCAAGCACTATCTCTCAAATTTCATTTAATTAAACTCTGCTCCAGCAATATGACAGTCAGCATTTCATGGTGGGAATTGTTTTAAGGATGAAGGTAGAAAATGTTTCAAAGTAGTCCTGCGAAAAACACGAAAGCATAATCTAAAATTACCCTCGCACCCGCTGTAATTTATCTCCAATATTAAAGATGTTATTTCCAAAGCTGGTAATTAATTGGATTCCACAGAGAAATTATTCAGACATTCCTGATAGCAAAACGATACACAAAGGCACAAAACAGAGTGCCAAAGGACAACTATAAACAACCACTGCGACTCTCCCGAATTACTACAATCATTGAGCTTAATGTAAAATGAATGCTGGCTGGCTTTTGTATGTAGCCATTAGTCTGCAGCAAAAAAGATTGGCATTGGATTTTGATTACATTGCCTTAATAAAAAGTAATGAGAGTGGCGCATGCTCTAGTGGCTTTCCTTTAAGTGATACAGTGCAGTAAGTTTGCAAAAGGCCACTATGCCACAAGTTGATTAAGGGTGACACCTCGCCTGAGAAAGGCCACATTATGGTAGAGACGGATCACTGCGCTGGTATTGCCCAGGCAGCTAGCAAAGTCTTCTAACTAAACACTTTCAACCAAGCCACGTCCAGTCTCGCTTAGTTTTCAAGACGTACCATCAATTCGGCTAACCAGTTCTTCCAGCATTTTCACTTTCTTCTGAATACCAGGCTGAGCAAAGGTGTAGTTATCCTAAGGAGACAAGATTATAAAGAAAGCATGTTGACAAAGAGATATGAACACAGTTGCTTCAAAAAAGAAACAGCTGAATCAATGTCTTGCTGGCAGCTGACTTCAACCTTGCAGAATGACCAGCTGAGAGTGGGTAAAATTACCATTCAAAACACAGTAGGTATCTCAACAGAGGCTCTGTCCGACTTGCTTAAGTAAAACATGTTCTCTAATGTGCGTTATCAATAACAAACACAAACATGTCTATTAGAAATTATCATGCAAAGATGGCCACGGTTCGTTGCTAGATTATTTCTTTTCCTTTCAGTGGCTGTGGGGAGAGACATGATAAACTCCCCAAGAACATCAGACATTCCCAAGAATGCACACCTTACAAAGGAATAAAGAACCTGTAGCACCCCGAGTATTGTTGGACTACAACTCCCATCACCCCAAACTTTGGTGATCCTGGTTAAGGTTATATGAGGAGTCCAACATCTGGAGGGCCACAGGTAACCCACCCTTGTGTATTTTTAAAATCTGGAAACTTCCCAGTTGATAAATTCCATGGCATAACTTTCCACCGTGGGTAGCAAAACTGCAGGCCATATTAGGCCGACCACACCAGCCTCCCAGTCCCCTAATCCAGTGTTTCCCAACCTTGTGCCTCCAGCTGTTTTTGGACTACAATTCCCATCATCCCTTGCCACTGGTCTTGCTAGTCAGGGATGATGGGAGTTGTAGTTCAAAAACAGCTGGAGGCACAAGGTTGGGAAACACTGCCCTAATCTACTAGATTGCCCTTTGATTCCCTGCTTTTGAAGCTCCCTGGAATTGGAGGGGGCAAATTGTAAAGCTCTCACTGGCTCACATCTGGGTGGGATCGGGAAACAGATTGGTGCTTCTCCCAGCTCACCAGATCTCTCATCTCCACTGAGGAGACAGGCAGCAGACTGCCAAGCTCTCCAGCCCAGTCCCACATCAGGATACAGGTCACTCGCCAGGTCAGCAGAGGAAGGAGCAATTCACATCCCATAACAGCGCACATCCTTGTGTGAGCATGTTGTGTGTGCATGCAAGTGTGTGCAACATGTCTGTAGCATATGCCAGCTGTAGGTATCTACAAATAGGTTCTTAAATTTTGCTCCATTGAGTTATTGGGGGTAATCAGAAAGGGAACAGACCAGACCAAAAATAAAATAAATTGGAGAAATTTATTTCCATCAGTAAACAAAAATGAAGAAAATATACAAACTTGGCAAAAACTGAAATATAATAAAATGTATGAATAAAATATAAGAAAGCAATTCATAAATGGAAAACAGTATTAAATAGGCAAACAGCATGTATATTAATAAGCCATAAAACTTCTACCAGTCCAAACTTGTTAAAAGCTTACTAAATTCCTAGCCTTATAGCAGTTTAACCTACAGATTAAGGAAGGGGAGGGGTTATAGCTACAATTTCCAAGCAGGGATCCATGAAACTAGCTTCTGTGGTCTCAGGAGGAAGTTGAGAAAGCTGAGTCCAGGATCTAGTGTATAGGATCAAGAATAGTACAAATGGAAACTAAACACATGCAAAAAATAAATAAAAGGGAAATATTTTTAATCTGAACAGTGAGGTGTGTGCCACACAAGGGAATAAACAGAAAATGAACTCAAAGTGAAAACCTATGAAAATTGCATCTATTCAAAATTGTTCTTCAGCCAAATAGTCAAGGCCCTAATAGTGAATTCAGAGAAAATGGTGAAAAGCAGCTTCCAAAACTGAAGCAAGGGATTTGCTACAAGGGGAAAAAACAAAACTTCTCTCAAAGAGAGGGCAAAAAAAGCGAAGTGGTCTCCAAAGGCTTCAGAATAGGCAAAAATCTATTGGAAAAACTTGAGTCAAGGCAAAAATAAAATTAAGATAATAAAAAGGAGTGAGTTCTAGCACTGAGTACAGTCTCTTTTTGGTCCCTGCTGAAACCCAAACTTCTCAGCATTGCGATTTGTCCTTTTCTCTCTCCTCATTTTTTCCTCACTCAAATGCAGTTCAGTTGGTTAATGGCAGGAAATGGGACAAACACCTGCAGAAACATTTTCCCACTGTTTCTGGGCTTGATGCAGTCCCAAGCCTTATCGAAGCACAGGGAGACTCACAACAGTCACTCCCAGCGTGGCTACTTGCAGGGACGGGAATCAACCCCTAAGGTGTGTATTCAGGCCTGCTTCAGTCATGAGCCAGTTGACCAAAGTTTTTCTTCCATTCCACTGCACAGTTTCTAGAGCGTTCATCTTCACCATAGACATATTCACCCCCAAAATTGAGCTCAGTATCAGTTGGCACACGTACCACTAGTATGATGTGCCTAAAGGAGCTGGTAAATTGGGACACTTGTCCTCAGGCCAAAAAGGGCTAGATTTTCCCATTTCCCTAAAATTATTTCCCAAGTGTTTGAAGCTTCATATGCCCACATGGCATAATGTAGAAGCAGTCCTTAAATAAGAAATGTGCAAGAAACCGCCTTTTCTTCAAAGTATCACATATTCTTGACAACACATCTGTTTTCCTGATAACTTGTTATGTATAGCAAGCTTAAACATTCTGCGCAACACTATTTACAATTGGAGCGGAGCAAAATAGTTTTTGTGCTCTGAAAAGGAATAATGGCCACAAAGAAATTGGAAGCTCTGATCTTAAGTGGTGAAAATAATTGTACCCTGCTCCCAGGTAAGTCTGTAAGATCCAGGTTCTTTTTTCAGTGCTTCAGAACAGAATAATATTTGAGCCACATTAAAGCTTCCACTCCGCTAACCACTTATCAAGCCTAATTCCCCCATCTTAAATCCTCACTGGTTGCTGCAAGACATGTTTGACAAACCAACCTTTTGACAGGAAGGCACATTCTATGCAAGATGAGGAAACTTCAGAAAGGAATGGCAACAAAAACAAAGGGGGTGTTTTAATGCGGTCAGCAACCACTTGCAGTTAGCAAAGGCAGTAAGGTACACCTGTCAATAGCTTAATAAAACTGGCAGTGAAGCATAAAGCAGCCACAATCTCCCTCTGTATTCACAAATGAATCCCTGATTCATTATGAAGTAGGTGATGCACTGTGCCGAAACTGAAACTTGCCTCTTTAAGGCAGCTTTTTGGAGCACTTCTAAGTTACTGGCCATTCATCTTTGGACCAGTGCATATTCATGAGCTACAATTTTTGTTTAACCCGCAAGAAAGAAGGGCTTTTTTGCTGGATAGGTTCAATTCTAATCCTTCTAACCTCATTTGGGGTAGGTTCACGGGTATGGCAGAAGGGGATAGGATCTGCCTATGCGATGCCCTCCTGGTGGAAACTCCAGCTCACATGGCCCTTAAATGTAAAATGTATTATGATCTCCACCAACAATTCTTAGACCAGCTATGTATCCCAACATGGAAACCAGAGACAGAGGTTATACGCTTCTTATTACAGAGGAGAGACCAGGAGCTCACCAAGACAGTAGCTAAGTTCCTTTATTTGATTTTTTTGCCGCCGAAGTACGCTACAGGATCCTGCCCTTGCTGGAGACCCACAGAGGTGAAATAGATTGCTCGCCTCTTCTTCCCTTTGGCAAATGACTGTACTGTTGAAATGGCAACGAGATCGCATTGGCCTACTTATTCTGAATGTTTGTAAATGATGCCAATAAAGGTTTGATGATGATATTCATGAGCATCACTGAAGGCAATGGAAGAATCCTTTCCACAAGGTAAGCCAACCATGTGTAGTGGACTGCCATACAGACCTGGATTTTTTATTCTTCTTCCCAGCATGTTTCCTGGACAAAACTGTATAACTGCCCTGCTGAATGTGACCAAAGACTTATCTATAGTCCAACATCCTTTTCCCGCCACTGGCCAATCAAATGACTCTAGGGAAGTCTACAAGCAGGATATGAAGAAAATAACCTTCTGTGTTGTTCCCCAACAGTTGGCATTCAGAGCTGCTTTGCGTCTGATCCTGGAGAAAATGCATAGGCATCATGACTAGTTGCCGCCAATAGCCTTATCCCAGATCACACTGATTTGCTACTTACAACTGCTCCTGGACTTGGAAAGCTTGACTGCAGTGACCATGCACTGTTGACTTCAAGGATAGATTACTGCAATATGCTCTATGTGGGGCTGCCCTTGAAGATGTTTCAGAAGCTGAGGTTTGTGCAAAATGCAGTGGCTAAGCTGTTATATGACAACCTACCAGAAGCGTGTAACACCAATCTTGAAATAGCCGTATGGTGTGCTTGTGTTAACATATACAGTGGTACCTCGCAAGACGAATGCCTCGCAAGACGGAAAACTCGCAAGACGAAAGGGTTTTTGGTTTTTTGAGTTGCTTCGCAAGACGATTTTCCCTATGGGCTTGCTTCGCAAGACGGAAACGTCTTGAGAGTTTGTTTCCTTTTTCTTAAAACCGTTAATACAGTTGTGACTTGACTTCGCGGTGTGGTAGCCTTTTTTGAGGTTTTTGAAGACTTTGGTGATTTTTTGAAGCTTTTCCAAAACTTTTCCGACACCGTGCTTCGCAAGACAAAAAAATCGCAAGACGAAAAAACTCGCGGAACGAATTAATTTCGTCTTGCGAGGCACCACTGTAAAGCATAAGCAACTTGCCCAGAAGGGAATAAGACCTTCCAGCTGAAAATGTTTCCCCCACTCCTAGGCAACAGAATGAGCGTTCCTGCCAGAAAGAAACCTGCCAGTTAACACAAGACTGCACAGATGAGAAGCAAGTTACGAAGACTGGCCTCATCCCTGACCAGAAACCCTCACAATAAAATAGCAATCATATCGGAATAACCTACTTTTTAAAAAAGAAAAGAAAACTGTCCATCAACATGTGGATGAACAGTATGTTTTCAATCAAGCTCAAGAAAGGTTGTACTGGTGCACACCAGGAAGGAGAACCAATTTCAAAATGTACCTCATAAATACCAATGTCCTGTTTACATTTCACATTTTTAAAATATGGTGGCATCTACTGCCCTATTCTACTCATCAGGTATATTCTTTTTCAACACTCTTGATGCTGTTATTGGCCACAATGCTAATCAGTTATCCCAATGGTTAGAGAAGGGGAAATCAATTTACCTGAATGCCATCAAGCAGTTTACTCATGCACCAGAAACTGTCAGCTTCAATGTTCTGCAGCACTTCGGCAGGCAGACTGGAAACATCAAAATTTTCCACTTCTTCTTCTGTTTGGTAAAAGAGAGAGGGGGAAAAGATACACCAATGAAGTGCACGGAATAAACAAAAGGTTTACACACATATACAAGATATAGCAATCGCTAACCTTATCCATAAACATTAAACCGTACGACCTTTACTAAGGACTAAAAGCACTATTCAGCTAAACCTGGTGTTTTCAAACAATCATTCACCCCTGATATTAGAAATTCACAGGAGCTTTAAAAAAACAAATCAAATCCACTGTGGAAACTTGGCACACCACCATAAAAATCTGAAAAGGCATGAAATCTATCCACAACTAATTCCAGCCCATTTCACATCACAACTTCCAAGGCCAACCAAGATCACCTTCTTAAGATTACGTGTGTTGAGTTAGGATTGCAAGGGCACAGAGAGATGTAGAAGTGTCCTCAAGAGAAATATCACACCTGTGGCACTTGGGGACACATATTTGCTGCAGCATACACAGAGTCCCATTAATAACTAGCTACACTGAAGGACAAGTTCCAGTTACGTTTTCTGCTCCAAGCCCTAATAGATCAGCAAACAAGTGTGAATAGGTATCAGCAATGAATAAGTTTATCAGAATTGTAATTGCTTCAAAATTAATTGATATAAAGTTACATTCCTCCCACAACTGCAATCTACTGATGTCCAACCCTGGAAAAATAATGAAATGTTTGTTAAGCGGCAGTTGTTGCTTAGCTTAGATTTGCTTTTACTAGTGATGGCAAAGAAAAGAGATCAAAACCAATCTTGATAGCCGTTTTTGACCAATGCAGTACTTAAGACTCTAGACTAAATTTACAATTCAATCCAGGCTAAGCAAACCCAAGTGTGCCTGACTCTGCAGGAGTCTGTGGCCCTAAGATCTGTTTTCCTGCCAAATAGCAACATACCTCAATTTCCATATGCAAAACCATGGTAATAATAAAGTAATTTTTCTTATGTCCCAGAGTAATGGTGCATTTTAGAACAGCTGCTGCACAGTCAGTGAGGTGAGCCCCAAGTCAGGACAAAACCAGACCTATAGTTCTGTTTTATGTTCAGCAGGCCTGGCAGAAGGAAGATAGCTAGTGCATGGGTATGCAAACTAAGGCCGGGGGCCAGATGCGGTCCAATTGCCTTTTCAATCCAGCCCCTGGACGGTCTGGGAATCAGCGTGTTTTTACATGAGTAGAATGTGTGCTTTTATTTAAAATGCATCTCTGGGTAATTTGTGGGGCATAGGAATTTGTTCATTTATTTTTTTCCAAAATATAGTCTGGCCCCCCACAAGGTCTGAGGGACAGTGGACCGGCCCCCTGCTGAAAAAGTTTGCTGACCCCTGGGCTAGCCAATGCCCAAAACTGAATGCTCTACAAGAAAGAGGAGGGCAACCAAGATGATAAAGGGTTGGAAACCATGCCTATAAGGAACAGTTGAAGGAGCTGAGTAAGTTTAGCCTAAGAAAGAGGAGACTGAGAGAATATATGATAGCCATCTTCATATATTTAAAGGATTATCACATAGAAGAGGGAACACGCTTGTTTTCTCCTGCTCTGGAGGGTAGGACTCAAACCAATGGCTTCAGGTTACAATAAAGGAGATTCCGACAAAACTTCAGGAAAAACCTTCTGACAGGAAGAGCTGTTCGACACTGTAACGGTCTCCCTCAGGAGGTTGCATACTCTACTTCCTTGGAGGTTATTAAGTAAAGGTTAGATAGCCATCTGTAATGGATGCTTTAGCTGAGATTCCTGCACTGCAGGGGGGTGGACTATATGAGCCTTGAGGTCCCTTCCAACTCTGCAATTCTATGATTCTATTCTATGACCTGATTCATACCAGACATTTTTGCCTGGCTGGAACGCTCCTAATAATGCATTTTGCTTGTCCGGTTGGTGAACAGAAAGGAGTGCGAGTATGTACAGAAACTAACCTACTATGCAAAGGGAAAATCTACATTAATCGCTCTGCTCACTTTTGCCTCCGGTCCTCACTGCCACTATTGGTACGTAGCCCTGAGAAAGCTGCCCAGTAGGAAATGAACCTCTCAAGTTAAAAAGGGTTCCCCATCCCTGTGGAATGGAGAAGAGAGAAACAATTCTGAGAGGCTGTGTTTGCAGATACCTCTTAGCCTGATGATCCTGTAAGGATCGTCCCACACTCGTGCAGGACCCTGGTAGAGACACATGCCCGACGGGCATGTTCTCTCCCTCCTGGTCGATCGTTCGGGAGCTTCAAAAGCATTATTCAGCCCAAACGTCACAGCGATTTGTATCAAAAAGCATCAGCACACTTACGATCCTGAAGAGTATTTGCAGTTTGTGTAACAGAACTCAGTAGGCACAGCATTTTGGCTTATCTACTTTATTTACATATAATACACTTGGAGCATTCTGACTTAGCTCCTTCCTCTTTCTCATCAGACAGTAAAGAGAGAAAGAACAAATGACAATAGTCCCACTTCATGGAACACAGTAATACCAAAAAAAATCCTGTCTCCGTCACTTCCCACTCTGTGGAATGAAAACATACACCATCACGTGATAGACAACAATCCCATGACTGCAAACACGGATCAAGAATCCTAACAGATCCATCTAGCATTCAAACAAAAAGAATGTCCAAAGTCTGTAAATGTTACTCCTCTGGCCTTAAAAAAAAATGGTTTCAAAATCTTAAGAACTACCAGTCTCCACAGTGCAATCAGAAAGTAAACTCTGGGGTGTGTTCAATCAGAGTGGTTAGTTATTTGCCCCATTTTGTCTTCTACCTCCAATTTCAGCTAAGACTGCCAATGTTCTGCTGGCTGTGCCTGTGTATTTAACTGGTTCTTATCAGGCAAGAATAAACAGGTGGAACTCTTTCATCTTCAGCCGCAAAGACTCAATGAGGAGGAAAGGCTTCATCTGCTGGTTTCTGGGTATTATATCCTACTAGACGGCACAGGAATACTACCAGAGAAAAAGCTGTCAACTGTAAATTCACTAGCAGATCTGCAGAGCACAGAGGGAGAGGGAGTGTGTAGAATATGGTGAGCAATCCATACAGACTCATTAAGAATACAGAGTAAGGGACCATTTGAATAAAGCAGAGCGAATGCTGAGAATGGAACTGCATGAATAATGTAATCCTTTTAGAAGCAGTGTTAAGATGTCTTTTAGGGCTATCAACAAGTTTAATCCACAAACGTTGCAGCATAAGAATTAAACAGTATGTAGATTTTCTTTTCTTTTCTAAGTAGCAGGACAACATGCATCTTTGTCAATATATATGTGGATAGGAAGCTATCACTGTACAAAAAATCCCAATTATAATGTCTCACAGCAATGTCTCTCATTTTCTTCAGCTTCCTGCGGCGATTCTCATCACGCTGTCTGTGTAAGTGTGGAAGATAGCAAAATAGCTGCCTAAAGAAAAACTGCTGTGACATGCTGATCCAAGTGCTACGATTGCTGCAAGCACTGCTGTTAGCTGCTGTTTACTCCTTCACAGAATATTATCCTATTCTTGTGAAAATCTCCTCTGAGCAAAAAAAAAAAAGAGTAATTCATTTAGAAGGGCTTTAACAAGACGCCTTCTCCACAGGAAGCAGCAAAGCAACACAACGAAAAGTGAATTAATTACACTTTGCAAGATGCATTACTGAATGGTGAAATTGAGAGCAAGACCAGTGATGGTCTTTTGGTGGTTCAAATGCACGAGAAAGTACAATCAAATTGTTTGGTTGCTGCCTGGATTGAAAAGACTACCACCTATACTCCAGGATGGTCACCATCACCGATAGGTGCTAGAGATGAATTTTTGCAGATTTATGAAGTCCGAAAAGAGCATACAAGCTTTGCTTTCATGTCATTGTAGTTTAGTTGTTTAGTCGTGTCCGACTCTTCGTGACCCCATGGACCAGAGCACGCCAGGCACTCCTGTCTTCCATTGCCTCCCACAGTTTGGTCAAACTCAGCTGGTAGCTGGTAACATCAGGGTCTTTTCCAGGGAGTCTTCTCTTCTCATGAGGTGGCCAAAGTATTGGAGCCTCAGCTTCACGATCTGTATTTCCAGTGAGCACTCAGGGCTGATTTCCTTCAGAATGGAGAGGTCTGATCTTCTTGCAGTCCATGGGACTCTCAAGAGTCTCCTCCAGCACCATAATTCAAAAGCATCAAATCTTCGGCAATCAGCTTTCTTTATGGTCCAGCTCTCACTTCATTACATCACTACTGGGAAAACCATAGCTTTAACTATACGGACCTTTGTCAGCAAGGTGATGTCTCTGCTTTTTAAGATGCTGTCTAGGTTTGTCATTGCTTTTCTCCCAAGAAGCAGGCGTCTTTTAATTTCGTGACTGCTGTCACCATCTGCAGTGATCATGGAACCCAAGACAGTAAAATCTCTCACTGCTTTCATAGCAAGCTTCAAATCTGAGAAAGAGACATGCTGCTGTTCTGGTGGCTGGGCCGCAGTAGTTTATTGATGCCATTAAATAAGCACTTCCTTCAAGGAGAACTGCCTACTGCTACCTCACAATGCATGATGCAACACTCTTTTGAGTTTCTCTGAACCTACACACAACCCCCAGTTAAGGCTGAGCAGCTTACAACACAACACCATGTCAACTCTTCCCATAGTAGCTGCGTGTTCTCCATTAATGACTATTTTGAGCCTAAAAAGGAATGACATTTCAAAAATAATTTATATCTGCACTTCGTGACCCCATGGACCAGAGCCATTTAGATGACTTAGATGCCATTTACTAAATGCCCTTGACCACCTTTGAGGTTTTGAAGTAGGACCCACTTATAAACGAAACTTGGTAGCTTTTGAGCTCTACTCCCCCCTTTAAATGGGACGCGGGTGGCGCTGTGGGTTAAACCTCAGAGCCTAGTACTTGCCGATCAGAAGGTCGGTGGTTCGAATCCCTGTGACAGGGTGAGCTCCCGTTGCTCGGTCCCTGCTCCTGCCAACCTAGCAGTTCGAAAGCATGTCAAAGTGCAAGTAGATAAATAGGTACCGCTCCGGCGGG